AAGACACTATTTTTCACTTGAATTTATTTATTCACCATCTGGATATCATAATAAAAAAATGCACAAACACAGATTTTACTCTACAGCATGGCAGGCTTTCTGATCATCTTCGACTCCATGTCTGGCCAGCCACACCATCAGCCTATCGATACAGTAAGTGAGCTACACAACACCAGAACACACCCATTACAACAAGCAAAACTTTGTCTGTGTGGATTGCAATGGGAGTTTTTTTAAATCAGTCATTTGCAATGTAGCTGAGGTGTATGCAATGACACCCCAATACCGTGATGAATAGAGAAAAACAAAATAGTGGGTTATTCTCACAAAAAAATTATTCACAAAAAATTCAACCAAAGATATTGCAGCCAGAGAAAGAGCAAGTATTTTGAGGAAAACAGGATCACTAACAGTGCAGCATATTTGCAAGAACTGCAAGAGAGAATAAATTTGTGCTGTCATTTTTTTTTGTTTTTTTTGTTTTTTGTTTTGGCAACAACAAAAATAAGTTTACTCAAAACTAAACAAAAGACAGAAACCATCACAGACTGTTTACTGGTTTTCACTACCCATTAATACATTACAAGCCATTCCATTTTTATGGTTGTAATGGTTTCTGCTTTTGTTTTAGGACATTCTATTAGTATTCATTAGCTTTAGCATGCCACCAGGAGCAGATTTAACTAATAAGCGAGGTAAGCGGCCGCTTAGGCCCCGGCAAATCTAGGGGCCCCCAATAAATATCTAAATGTATAAATTATACCTATGAGCTATAAATAACATTGCATTTTACCATATTTTATCGTGAGAGTTAAATACAAATTTTTAATGTAATTAAATATTATTTAGTATGTTATCAAAGATAATATTATGTAATGTTATCTAATAATAATAATAATAATATTACCAAATAAAATATCCATCATGCAGCAGCCTGACACACACACACACACACACACACACACACACATATATATATATACAACAGTTCTGTCTGGTTCTCAAATCTGATTGGCTGATAGCCGTGCGATATTCTGCAATATCAGAACTCCTACAGCCTCTTTAACCTTTGTGTATTACTCAGCCCCCATACAGCCAGCAAAAAGCAGACACTACAGATCTAAAGTTTAAAAGATGCACGCTCAACTGTTTAACTGTCAGCTTATGGTTTGAATCCGGAAGAAAGTAGTTCCTCATACAAAAGGGTTTTTGAGACTCTCCATGTTTGATTTTGCAGTGCGATATGGCTGTATATCGGCACTGGTGGGGGCACTAAGGCAACGCACGCCTCATACCAGTGCCGATATACAGCCATATCGCACTGATACGAGTGTGATATTGCTCATATATATATATATATATATATATATATATATATATATATATATATATATATATATTAGGGATGTAACGGTATCAGAATTTCACGGTACGGTAATACCTCGGTATGAATGTCACGGTACGGTATTTATTGAATCATTTACAGGAAAAAAAAAACTTTTGAAAATACTCCCAAAAAAGTGCCAAAAGTGTCAATGACATACAAATTAGCCATCTATCTGTTAGCTTTGAAACAGGAACTTCAATTTTAATAACAAAAAATTATTAAACCATGTAAAAAAATAAAGTTTCAATTTAGTATTGTTAAAAACTCATCACATTTAACATTTAATCACTCACTTAGATAGAGATGGGTTTAAAGGAAAATTATCATATAACTATAATCTGGTAAAAGCTGGTATCTCTGAGTATTTACAATGTCCCCTGCAACAGAAAAAAACCCTCTCATTTGGGACTGAGGATTCTGGGACAAGAGAGATATGACTTGGCCCATGTTGACAGCAGTGGGGTAACGTTGTGCATTGTCTTTCCCCCACTTGAGAGGACAAACCATGAGTGAGATAGAGATCTCTTTGCGGTACAAGTCAATGTCTGCATCAATCTGAACAGTGTGCTGTGTTTCTGCAGTCCCCATGACTGTTATTAGTCGTATTCCCCAACTTGCAGGCACGTGCACACATAGGGCTCAACCTGTGCAGTGCACATGCCCTTTTTAGTCTTGGATAGAAAATGCCCTTCCAAAACGATCAAAAGTGCCCCCGCGACGCGACACAACCTCCGTCCAGCCCAGCCCTTCAGTAGGCGCGCGATAACACCTCTCTTGAGTATGCGCGCTCAACCCCCCCTCGGCGCTTTACAATACGCGCGCCACAACACAGCTGATCAGAACGCGCGCCACAACACAGCTGATCAGAACGCGCGCGACAGCACCGCTATTCAGCACGCGCGCGGCGACAACACCCGCTTTAGGTTCGATCATTTCCATCTTTTTTTCATCTCCGCTACTAGCAGCACACTCCATTTCCGCATTACTGGATCTGTAGCGACAACAGACCGCAAAGGATTATGGCCACGCCGGGGCTGATGGGAAATGAAGTTCCAGCTACCTCCCGTTCGCTTCATTCGCCTGAGCAAATTTTCTCAGAAGACCTATAGTTTTACCGAGTCATGCGACTTCGGTAATATCGAAAAAATTTAATATTGCGGTATGACGGTATTTACAATACCGTTACATCCCTAATATATATATATATATATATATATATATAAACATCAATATAAACAAAAAATGAATAAACCTAGAAAAGGTGCATTTCAGCAATTGCTTAGGGCCCCAAAATCATCAAATCAGCCCCTGCATGCAATCAATAGAAGGCAAAAAAATAAGAAACCCAAACAACCACTGCAGTTTCAGTTCTACAACTTCAGTACATTTCCCACTATAACCATTAAGACTTCTAAGGGGGTTTCTGTTTCTTTTTTAAACATTCCATTCCATGATATTCTAACCCAATATTTTCATCAAAGTGATATTAAATATTGTTCAAACTATTTCATACACATTTTCCAACAAATATACAATATAATATAATATAATATAATATAATATAATATAATATAATATAATATAATTTAATATAATATAATATAATATAATATAATATAATATAATATTTAAAATGGCATCTAATGTGTAGTTTAGGGGTTTTAAAAGAGTCTTTTCATTTCTATAAAAATGGTATCTATTGCATATAAACATAAAAGAATGACATATAACCTACAGTATATCTGGAAAGTATTCATAGCGCTTCAGTTTTCCAGATTTTTTTTAATGTTACTGGTTTATTGCAAAATGGATTAATTTCATTTATTGCCTCCAAATTCTACACAAAATACCACATAATAACAATGTGAAAAAAAAGATTTTTTGAAATTGTTGCAAATTTTTTAAACATAAAATACCTGAAAAATCACATGTACATAATTATTCACTGCCTCTGTTGTGGAGCTCTAAATTGAGCTCAGGTACATACTGTTTCCACTGATCATTCTTGAGATGTTTCAGAGGCTCAGTTAGAGTTCACCTGTGGTAAATTCAGTTGATTGGACATGATTTGAAAAGGGATACACCTGTCTATATAAGGGCCCAGTTTGCCAAAAGTCATCAGAAGAACTCTCAGACCATAAGAAACAAAATTCTCTGGTCTAAAGAGACTAAAATTGAACTCTTTGGAGTCAATGTCAGGCGTATCGTTTGGAGAAAACCAGGCACCGCTCTTCACCAGGGTAATACCAACCCTACAGTGAAGCATGGTGGTGGCAGCATCAAGCTGTAGGGATGTTTTTCAGCAGCAGGAACTATAAGACTAGTCAGGATAGAGGTAAAGATGAATGAATGCAATGTACAGAGACATCCTGAATAAAATCCTGCTTCAAAGTGCTCTTGACCTCAGACTGGGGCGATGGTTCATCTTCCAGCAGGACAATGACCCAAAGCACATGCCAAAATATCAGTGAAGTGGCTTCTCAACAACTCTGTAAATTTCCCAGCCAGAGCCCAGACCTAAATCCTAATGAACATCTCTGGAGAGATCTGAAAATAGCTGTACACTGTCGCTTCCCATCCAACCTGATAGAGCTTTAGCGGTACTTGCAAAGAGGAATGGGCAAAAATTCCCAGAGACAGGTGTGCCAAGCATGTGGCATCATATTCAAAAAGACTTGAGGCTGTTATTGCTGCCAAAGGTGCATTAACAAAGTATTGAGCAAAGGCTGTGAATACTCATTTACATGTGACTTTTCAGGGTTTTTTTTTTTAATCAATTTGCAACAATTTCAAAAAAGCTTTTTTTTCACAATGATATTATGGGGTATTGTGTGTTAAATTTTGAGGAAATAAATGAATCTAATCCATTTTGGAATAAGGCTGTAACATAAAAAATGTGGAAAAAGTGTAAGGCTAGAAATACTTTCCAGATGCACTGTATATTTTGGAATGCACTGAATGATTTTTAGCAAGAAAAAAAAAAATCATATTTTAAAAAGGATGGTTCTCATTCATTTTGCTCAGAAAAAAAGAATGCATTTTTATGTACAGAAAAAAAGCTGTTTTACAATACTTCAATTGTTTTGATGCTTGGAAAAACTTTTAATCATTGACCATTACATTAATACTGACTGAATTCAAAATGTTGTAATTTTTTATATGCAACTTAATTGCAATTAGATTAAAAATGACGGCTTCAATTCATAAAAACTCACATTCACTCACACAGTTTCAGCTTTCCATATCTCCTGCTTTCAGAGAATGGTTCTGGTTCTCCAGAGAAACACTTGGCAAGTTGATTCCAAGATATTCCAAGAGGTTCTGAAGGCAGAAAGATGAGCATAACAGACGCTTTGCTTCAGCAAGGCATCTGGCATCACTTCAGCTTGGCTGCAAGAAATAGAGGACTTACGCTCACGTTGAAAAAGAAGGCAGACCCATGTATGCATGATTTATCAACTTCCACGATTACTCTCATGCTTGGATAACAGTAAATGACGCCAATTTTGAAAAAATCTGTTTGAAATATTCAACATGATTGTTTTGCTTTGGCAGACAACCTCAGACAAATAAGTTCATGGTCTTTGATCTCTTGTGGCGGTATTTCCACTTTAAAGAAAAAAAACAACTGAATTTTGTAACATTTTGCACTTTATGTACCTGCAGTCAATACAAATTTACCACCAATGCATTACTATCAATAAATGAATAAATTGTGTCACTCAAAAGGCAAAACTGGTCTTGAGTGTTGCAGAAAATGCCTCTTTATCATTGACTGAACACTAAAGCAACGTTTCAATCACTGTCCACTAGCCAAAACACAAAATACACATCATGTGCACAAATAACATACACCACAAAACAAAGTCATTACAAATCTCAACAGGCGATATCTACATATCTAACAATTATAAATTAAATTTGTGCAAATTGACCCACATAGTTATCTGCGATAATCATCGTCATGATCATCAAGCATTTGATGACCTAAAGAAAATAAAAATCTGCATCATTATGCCACAATATGGGGCATCAGCTGCTCATTGTCATTTAAGGTGAAGTATGCCATTTTAACACCATTAGTGGCACTAAACAGAGATTACAAATTTCGAATTCTCCTTAACACACCATTTAATCGGACCAAGGACAATTCAACATCTGTAAGCTTTCTCATTCAACTTAAATGCACTCAATTGACATCTAATATGATACAACAAAATTTTTGCAATTAAAATGTTTACTTTGCCAGAATACATAGCTACTTTTGAATGGCCTAAAATGAAGCTTTTTGCCTCCATGGTGATGATTTCTGTGGCCCCACAGAACATTGACTTCAATTGCATCCTCCCTGGTAGAAGCTTCATCTCTTTTTCTATTCAGGGCTCTTGGAGTTATTCTGCCATTTATGGTACCCTTAAGTGTAAATGCAGCATCTACCAGCAGGGACTCATTGTTGATTAAAACCCACAATACACTACCCCCTCATACAGATAGTCCCAGCAAAAAAACTCAAGCCGTTGGTAGAATCGATGTTGTAATGGCACAGATGGGTCACTTGGGTGGTCACTTTAGTGGCGATGATGCTACAGAAATGACACGCCTCAAGTGCATCCTTTTTCGGAATCTCCTTTGAGTGTCTTACGACTGTATTTCTATGAAATATTGTATTGTAAATCTAGCATGAAGACGTCCTCTGAGTGAAGAAAGATTTTGATCTATGTTCTTGGTTGTAATTTGTTCGAAATCTTCTCTGGCTCTCAGAGTTCCTCCTACACATCCTGAAAATCTTTCAAAGACTTGTGGCAAAGGATTCCAATGCCATTTAGGAGATGAGAGGCAATCGAGAGAAGAAGCAGTTACTAACTAATACTGACTCTTGAACATACAGGTCTGGTGAACAGTCGTCTCCTCTGACATAGGGGAATCAAATCTGGCATACTACGCCATTAAGGCAGTGACCTAGTTCCTTTGAAGCCTTTCACATATGGCTGTGTTTTGCATGCTTAAACATACTATGCTTGTTTTCTTGAAGGGAGAACTTCACTATGATTAATAGTAGGCAAATGCTTCTAATGTGTGCTGGATGTTTTCTTCACTACACACTAGAGTTTGCTTTAAGCAACTTTCACCTCTGTGAGTTTAACTGATAGATTTGTACTTCACTTTTATGGTCAATCTTTGTGTTTTTGTTTTAATACTGGGGTCTAAGACCTATAATAAAAGGCACACAAGCAAAATTGATCAGTCTAAATCTACACCTTGACCATGGCCATTAAAGTGAAGGACGTTTTTAATTAAACACAAGCACTTACTCTTTACATGTACCCATAAACGTCAATTAATTCAAAAATATATGCAAACCAAACTGTGGGTGCACAAAGTTTCTTCATTATCTTAACCAGCAAAATCAGCTTAACCCAAAAACACAAAGCTTTGTTAGTGTTCTGGCACCAAATTAGCATAAATTGTCATGGAAATTCTTGTCTAAGTTGGTCATTTCTGGATGGAAGTATTTGCAGAGTTCTACACAAACTCGCTGTTTATGTTATCTTTTGGAAAGTTCAGTTCGGTGTATCTCTTCAGTTCCTCCAGAAAGGTTGGTCAACAGTTTGCTTGGCTGATTTCACTTGGACCCTGCAATCCAGATGGGTTTTCACTACTAAATCACAGTTAAATAAGACTAGAGGTAAGACTCTATCATTCAGTTTGTTAGCATGTACATTTGTGCAAATCTTTGTTAACATGTCCACCTTTTGCTCACCATTAATCCTGGGACAGTGTCAGCTGAGCACCCTGCAATGTGAAGGACTGGTGTCCATTGTGAGTTGCCTGTTGAGGAAACTCGCACAAGTGCCAAGGACACATACACATACACACACCTCTCGCTCAAGCTAGGGCCTAGGGTCTAGAGCCCTCAGCCAGAGGAAGCGAGAGTGATCTGGTCTTCGGGTGAGACGTATGGAGTCTCCTTTAGCTCACAGGTTGCTCTCTGCATTGCCCTGTGCAACCCTACAATACCTTTCCCTGTCCACCACCACCATGTCCTCTGTTATAGAACTGCAGGTGGAGCCATCTTGTTGTGTGGAAGTGAACTGCAGACATCCCTGCCCAATACCCATGCCATTTTGGCTGCTAGAAACCAACATCTGCTTTTCTTCTGGACTGCCGAGCCGGGAGGTAGTGGTAGCAATGTCAGGTAGCCGTGGGAGGTTGGTGGGATGGACCATGATGCTCCCACTCTTCTGAATCTGAAGGCTCTGGCTGTAGGTGTGACGATACTCCTCCTCAATGTCCCTCCCAAGCTTCCAACGTCTCCATTTCTTCAGAATCTCAGACTGAACCTGTGCAATTGAAAGGATACACAGAACATATTTGTGAGGGGTGATCTTTGTGAGGGTGTGCATATAGAAAAAAAGAGAAATGAACTCACTTCCTTGTTGACGAAGCAGTATAAGATGGCAACCAGCAGCCCCTGTGAACATGTCAGAGTAAAAATTATTCAAAAGGAGTCTTGCAAAATCAACTATTGGAAGAAGTTTGCACAAGTGTGTGTATATAGTGTGTACACAGTCATTTCATAGTAGCATAAACCAATCAAGGATCCAAATCTCAGCGATTTTAAGGCCAAATGCACTGGCAGTGAGCCAATTTTCTAAGGATACTACTCCAGACAGTGAAGTGTCGCCCACAATTGAGGCAACTCTCTCCTCAAAGGATGTTAGTTCAGCATTCCACTTTGACGGTGCTCCGCTGTTCTTCTCTTGACCTGCACCTTTACATCGGACAATTTCTTATTTAATTCACTCACCGTGCAATCAGACCCCTCACTGTGTTAACTGCATCAGCTACACTCTCCCACTCAATTTTTTCCTGCCAACTCTGACAGGACCGAAGATGAACGTGAGCTCCCGTATATTATGCATAGCTAAAATCAGCTACAACACAGGTAAATTATGTATTGGGGCGATCATTGTGTTCGCGTCACAGTGACAGCAGCTAAAATATACTCAGATTTGGTGCGACTTGTTTAGTTTATTGGCGTAATATGCGAGTGATGCTCTGCTCTTTTTGTTGCAAGTGCAGCCATTGTATCTGCACTGTTTTGAGCTGATGTGACGGAGTCGCTTCTACCTATCATCTCATCCAACTGTATGACCTCTCCTGGAAGCTCCATGTGTCTACCGCACATTTATACCGTCCCTGTGATCCCCAAAAATGAGATAAATACTCGGAAATCATGGCAACGAGAGTGAATGAGCAAGAGTACAGATAGCTAGAGGCACTGTAATAGCTGTACATTTCTTTTAAATTAACAGAGCAGTAAAGTTTTTGTGAGTGCAAATCCCCCTATCTCTCTCATCATGAGTGATCTGCTGTCAATAGTTGGAGACGAGCAAAATATTTGAATGGTCCTGCATGCATTTAGGCCTTTTACATATAACAACTGAAAGTTCTGTGTTGGTTGGAATTATTGGATAAATGAACGTTATTTATTTTTTAACATGAATATTTAATAATATAAATTCTTGTAATACACTCATTGCTATAAACAGTAGTTTATAGGCCTATTTCCTTTTAGTAAAGAAGCATCAAATGTGAGCTCCAAACTTTTTCTTGATTAAGACATGTTGAATTCATCATTTACAATGTTTCCAAATTGCATTGTAAATTTTCATAACAATTTTCAAATCTGTGTGATACTATTTTCTGTGGCAGTTCATTCCGCTGTGGCAAGCCTTGACAAATAAGGGACTAAGCCAGAGTTAAATTAATCAATTATTTTCTGTAAAGCTGCATCTGGCCATGACACATTCAAACCTAAATGATAATAAGAGACATGTTTAAGGTATTATATGCAGCATCCTTGATTTATTCTCTTAGGTAAGGCAAGATCTTCTCTTATGGTTCATATTTAGAGGGAAAATGTGCTTGATCCATTATAAAGCATGAAGCCTTAGAATCAGTACTCAGTATCAGCTGATCACCCTTACAAGGAATCTGTATTGGCTGCAAAAATTCTTATCTGAGCTTTGACCTATAACTTGGCTGTCAAAGCCGCAAAAATTTCTCTGGCTGTACAAGACTGATCTTAGTAAGTCAGTAAATACTCCCTTTAGAAAAAGAAGTATACTAAAGTAAAGTATACTAAAGGTCAAGTATAAAAGTATACTTTATTTAGTAAGTATACTAATATTAATTTAGTAGTAGTGTACTTGAAATGTTCTTCCAGAAGCCAATTAAGATACACTGCAGTGACAAAAGCTGCACACTTTGTGGTTAAAAAAAGATAGAAAAATTATTGTTTAATTTTAGCTTGTACGGTTGTACAGTTCAAATAATTGTTAAGTTGTTTACTGCTGCCATTAAAAAAACAAATTAACACCACGACTCCTTATGTCAGTGTCAGTCTGAACAGCCGCGGCGCGCCATAATATAATAGAATCATATTACTCCAGTTTTTTTCAACATTGCATGAACTCCCTATTTAACATTGTATGCATTTTAAAATATTGTTGACTACCTACAAAGCCTCGACTTAGCTCCTCAGTATTTGTGGGAGCTCCTGGTGTATTATAGCCCTTCACGTCCACTACACTGAATTAATTCTGGACAATTCATTATTATTAGAATGTAGGTGGTAGTTCATTTTCATATCTGCTACCTAAACTCCGAAACTGCCCTTCTAGCGCAGTTCAAGAGGCGGACAGATTCTGTCAGATTAAAAGTAGACTAACGTCACATCACTTTGCCCTAGCCAAGACATAAAATACAAACTCTTCCCTTTTGAAATCCAAACTCTCTAAAGTAATGTTTGGCTGCATTAATTAGGGCAATTGGAGCCAGGAACACTTCATGAAAAAACATTATAAATTATGTTTATGTTAGTCTGTTTCTCCTTATCTCACAGACAACATAATCTTAGACACCTCCCTGTCTTGTTGTTTTAGTTTTGTTATTTGAAATCAGATGTACCAATGTTCTAACATCATTTTGACTTTGAAATGGAATGAGAAAAAATAAAGACGCCCAACCAATCTTTGATCAATCAGTTTGAACTAAAAATGTCAACTAAACCATATCTATCATATTTTTACAATGATGTGTTGAGCTTGTTCTCAATCATAAACAAAAGCAAAATACTTTTAGAAACATTCAAAAGTAATCATCAGCCATTTTATGAATGAGCTCAACCTGATGTGTAAACACATGTCGGATGACTTGCTGCAATCTATAATTAAGACGTTCAAAAGCCAATAAGGATGAAGTGTCTACAGATGGATACATAATCGTCAAGCTTTATGGCCTCTCTCTCCCTTTCTCTGAATCCTTTACGCTTGTGAAAAGTCTCATCAGGGCAGTTCCCCCAGGCACACGATGCAAATTCGACACATTGCAGCTGCGCTCCACTTGAGTGTCATTATCAGTTTGTCAAAGCATGAGTCAACTCATTTGTAGCGCCCGCTCTCACAAAGCAATTAGTCCTGACAGTGCAAAATAAGCTACAAAATGTCAATTTATATGTTTTTCAAAGCCACTGCCCAACCAAGGGACATTTGCACGCACTGCTAATTTGCGGCATATGGGGCTTTTAGGGAGATTTTGGCAAGGTGAAGTGATTTCTCTCTTTATCTGTGACTGAGTATGCCATATTGAGAACATAATAAGGTCTAATTTGTTATTACACCTGCACTTGTTTAGACCAATTCAAAGCTTGTTAGTGAGGGTTTCAGCTGTGAGGCATACAGAAATGAACTGAAAAGTCTTTTTTATGTATTTATTTATTCAGTTTAGTCCTAAATTTGAATTAAGATGACAAACTATATACACTACCTGACAAGTGTCTTGTCGCCTATCCAAGTTATAGGTACAACAAAAATAACTTGACTTCTAGTTGATCATTTGGTATCAGAAGAGGCTCTAGATTAGTCTAATTTTACCAAAATAAAATATAATCATGCGTTGATTTTTAAGTATTTAATTAGACTGACTTTGATGAGACAAAAGCCTTGTCACTTACCAGATGTAATGTACTGTAATTAATAAACTATACTGTAATGCACAGTATATAATATAAAGTCATGGTGCATTGGTAAAATAATATAAATTGTGTATGACTCTCATGAGCTTGGAGGACTGGATCCATACAGTACATTTGTGCAATGACTCTAATAACTTATAAATAGTGTCATCTGGAATGGCAAAGAAATCATTCTTGCAGGACTCATAGAGTTCATCAAGATTCTTTGGATCTTCAATGCATTCTCCTTAATCTTACCCCAGGCATGCTCAATAATGTTCATGTATGTTGACTGGGCTGGCCAATCCTGAAGCACCTTGATATTGTTTGCTTTCAGGAACTTTGATGTGAAGGCTGAAATATGGTTTGTAATGTAAGGGGCAGCACAAATGTCTTGATACCTCAGGCTGTTAATATTGCCATCCAGTCTGCACACCTCCATACTGAATGTAACCCTAAATCATGATTTTTTCTTTACATACCTTGGGTTCATATTTGTTCCAATAGATCTTCTGTAGTATTTGTGATGATTGGGATGCAGTTCAAAAGATGATTCATCAGAAAAATCTACTTTCTGCCAATTTTCCAAATTTTCAAAAGTTATTATTTGTTGTTCTTACAACTGGAATCGACGTCAAAACCTTTGTCAGGTAGTGTATATATATGTAAAATCTATGGTAATTTGTGCGTGGCAAACATTTTTTAGATTACATTCAATGTACATTAATAAAATGGTTTATTGTAAAATAGAGATCTTAACTCAATATAATTTTTTGTTTATTATTATTGTCGTGCCTTGAAATTCTTTTGGCTCCTCACTGCATTTACTGTGTGATTTTTATAGGCTCCCTCCTTCGTAATGTGGCTGTAGGTTGTTGATACAGTGTTTTTTTTAAAAGAGGAGGTCCTGATTTTCCTCTTCCATCTCATGACCAAACTTTGCCTTATTGTCAACACTGAGTCTGTCATTGTGATCATGTTTGAAGTGCTATAAACAAGAGCAATAATGACCCATTTCCACTGAGTGGTACAGTACGGTAAAGTTTGGTACACTTTAATGGCCGTTTCCACTGTCAAATGGTACCAAAAAGCAAACCATACCATACCACTTTTTGGGTACCCTTTACAAAGGATACCTAGCATGACAAAAGGGTACCAAAAGGCTAGAGCTAGACATGCAGCTGAACGCTATTGGTTTACAGAGATAGATCAATCGCTCGTAGACAAGCAGGCGAATGAAAACAAAGGAACTGGCCTTTTTAAAAACACAGCCGAGACATTACACCGTTGTAATATATACATATAATAACAAACCATGGTCAACCCAAGCTCAAACAAAACTTGTTGTAGTCTTGATGAACCAAGAAGAACAAAATCTACTGTTGATGTTTTATGGGGCCGTCTAAAAGTGCGATCGGTTTCAATTTCTCCAGAGAGCTTGCCACGCATCTACATCTGAAATAATGAACTTCATGACCTAATGATAATAACATGCACATGATTATTAAAGTGCTTCTGAAATCTGATCCTTTCAGAAATGGACAAACGCGAGAGTAAAGTGCAAAAAACAAAGGAGAAGCCAAAGCAAATGATTCTTTTAGCAACCTAAAACATGAACAAACTGCCATGTTTAACTATTATCATCACCTTCTGGACTATTATGAATTATTGTTATGATTTTGAACTTAGGAATGAAAGAATTACTTTCTAACAAAAGGGTTACATATGCTGGTGAAAATTAAAAATGCAGATGAGAGGTCAATATTTTGTGTTTTTTTTTGGACCCAAATAAGGACTAAATGTATGGTGTGTGTAGTTTTACTGTAATTGGTAACATTTCAGACACTGTAAGGGTCTGTATGTGTTCATATATGTTGCATTTATTTATTTTATATAATTGCAGACGTTACAGTAGGCTATTTTGCCCTATCATTGATCTTCAGTAATTATCAAATCTTGTTTATAGAAAGGTTAGTGATGAACATTTAAACACAAGTATTTGTGGATAAAGCATCTGTTTTGTGAGAAGTGCTTTTCATATGTTATGTGAACAACACATACAGATACACATACAGATTTACATTTCCTCAAGCGAGAATGATGCAGTCTGAAACTTTCTGTCGTACACCATGCCCACCAAAAGGTGGCAGTGGAAATGGAAGCCTGATAAAGGTGACCCGAACTGACCCGTACCGTGCTGTACCACTCAGTGGAAAAGGGACAAAAGGGATGGTCTGTCTTTTTATTTGGAAGAGTAGTTTAACTTTGTTCATGTTTAAGGAGGGAGGTAAGCTTCCTGTAATTTTTTTGGATACAATTTAGCTTATTTTCCTTTGTAGGTTTCTTTTGTTTATTGTTTTGCCCCTGGACCACCCTGAAAAGATGCTCCTTACTATACTTCAAACATTTACTTTAATAAATCTATTTAGTTAACCTCAAGTCAGTATGAATATTTGGTTGTTGACCAAAATGTGATATTTTTGCAAATCAAATATCACAACCCAGTTTTCAGTTTTTTATTACGCCCCTTTAGTATTATTATTTTTTCCCAAACGTCTGTGCATAATCATTCTGAAAATGATGTTGGAGGATTTAAAGAAAATAAATTTTGCTCAGCTTGGAGTGAGTGATGCTGTATTGAGGCTTTCTGACCTGGAAGGAGTTGAAGAAGAGGTCGATAAAGAGTTTTGTGAGGCGTAGGGGCAGAGCACCATGTGAGGTAGACTCGTCAGTAACAAATGAAAACAGGACCGAATGGATCCCCAGTAACGGAATCAGGGTGAGCGTGGACTTTGCAAGCCTGAAAGTGAGAGAAAACCCCATGTAGTTAATCTCAAAACATTCACATAATATTGTCTTTCCCAAAGATATGGTCAAAACTGAGTCTTTTATTATAGAGGTTATAAATATGCATATACAAAACATTTTTGGCGAGGCAGTGCTGCAGTAGGTAGTGCTGTTGCCTCACAGCAAGAAGGTCGCTGGTTCGAACCTCGGCTCAGTTGGCGTTTCTGTTTGGAGTTTGCATGTTCTCCCTGCCTTCGCGTGGGTTTCCTCCGGGTGCTCCATTTTCCCCCACAGTACCACAGTGTGGTACAGGTGAATTGGGTAGGCTAAATTGTCCGTAGTGTATGAGTGTGTGTGTGAATGTGTGTGTGGATGTTTCCCAGAGATGGGTTGCGGCTTGAAGGGTATCTGCTGCATAAAAACTTGGTGGATAAGTTGGCGGTTCATTCTGCTGTGGCGACCCCAGATTAATAAAGGGAATAAGCCGACAAGAAAATGATGATGATGAAAACATTTTTGGAGAATTTTTTGCTTAACCAGCAGACACACAACATAATAGGACGTTAATATTAGGTTACATTTAGGTCATGATGTCAGGTGGCCAAAATTCAATGTCAAGCCAGCGTCTAAGGATAACGTTACTTTGACATTAAATAACAACGTCAAATTACGTTGATATTTGGTTTATTTTAGGTTGTGTTGGAAAGTGACCAAAATCAAATGTCTGATAGATGTAAAAGTGGTACTGTCCACACAACGTAACATGTTTAGACGTTGATATTAGGTTAATTTTAGGTTAGACATTGACGTCAGTCTGATGTTGGGTTACCGATTTGCAATTCTAAACAAAATTTAGCATCTCCATGACGTTGGGGTACAACGTCAAGATGATGTCATGTCTATGTCCTGTGCCTGCAGGGTACCTAAGCCATATATCTACTATGTAGATATCAGAGAACGATTTAACATATAAATCAATGTACTCTATGGCACCTTCAAAGTAAATATCTCGCCCATGTTCATCCATATAATGGCCGTATAAACATTAGACTGTATTAGTGGCAAAATTCACTCCGACTGTCCTAGTGAAACCACACAAGAGTACAGATTTGCTTAATCAAGGTTGTTTAATCTGGATGAGATAATAATGACTAAAACATTTTCATTTTTGGGCAAACTAACTGCAGGACACCTACCGGAACTTGTAGTCAGAATATCTCATCTGATGCGCCCTCAGTTTGGACACGAGGATCTTGATGATGTGTATGAAGATGAAGAAGTTAATCTGGATGAAGAAGAAAACATCATAATGCCCTGGTTAAGACCATTACATCATATTAGCTGGACAAAACTGACACTACAGCTTCTTCACAACACAACGAATGAGTCAGGACTGTGGGGGAAGGAAGTGAGCGGTGGAAACAGCAGTCCAACCATTTCAAACAGAGGAAATTTCAGCCCACCGCAGGAACACTTGAGACGTGGACAGAAACATCCCGACACATTGCTAAATGCTCATCCGCACCTCACATTCAATGTGAGCATTATGGTTGCCTGGAAATTGTGCCTTGCAGAGCAATCATGTGTAGACAGACACTTGAGTAGGGAAAAGAAGTCACTGAAATCACATCTAAGACCATAGGACATATTGCGTGTAGTTGCTTCCTGATTTACCAAGAATGGCACTGTGATTCATGCATAATGGAAATGATTTGAATTTTGAATGTTGTGTTTAATGTTAAGGCAAATGCAGTGTAATTGGGTGTGACAGTGTGAGTGTAAAGGGAAACTGCTGGGCATAAAACAGCGTCCCACATTTAACCTAGACTTGCTCTTTATATTCCTCCTATTATGAGAGGAAATTCAGCGAAAGCTAGGTCACAATTATATCATCATTTCATTGTTTTTTACTGTGGTTATAGTGTGGCTGTAAAATTTAGTCTACTTTGTAAAGTATTAATATTATACACTGTATCTCTATCAACAGTTTCCTTATTTTCTCTTTCACAATTATTTTTCATTTATTTACGGTTGTGAATTGCATTACGGCACATTGATCTCTCCTCTGTTGACTTTTGATGTTGATAATTTAACTCTACAGTTTAACATTGTGACTTTTATTAACATTTTAGTATAATAATAATATAAAATGCATAGGCAGTGTTGCGAACTATTTTCAATGAAAAGGTGCTAAATGTTGCAAGATTAAGTCATGTGTCAATTTGCATATAACTGACATCATCACATCCAACCGTTTCTGTTTGTTTAACAGCCTATGGGCCCTATCATACACCCGGCGCAATGTGGCGCAATATTCTATTGCTAGTTTCAGCTTGGCACAAGAGTCGTTTTGAGGCTTTGCGCTACGCTGTTTAAATAGCAAATGCATTTGTGCTCATATGTGCGCCCATAGGCGTTCTGGTCTAAAAAGGAAGGCGTTCTGAGGCGCACTGCTGGCGCGTTGCTATTTTGAGAAACTATAATAGATTTTTCAATAGACCAAAACAAAGCCGGTCTAAAGTCAAGCGCAGAGTTGCGCCTCGCTTACACTCTGCTTAATACGCACAGGAAGATGTAGAGCAATACGCAAATATCTTTACATAAGAAAAAAATAAAATATTAAGGATATATATATATATATATATATATATATATATATATATATATATATATATAGAATATATATATATATATATATATATATATATAATATAATAATAATATATATAGGATATAAGTATAAAGGATTAAAATATTACAAAACATATTATTTTCTAGCATACATAAAAATGAAAAACCACTGCTTTTTTGCCTTCTTCATCTCGGGAGGCTTTTTCAGTTCATTCATATCAAACAATTTGCTTTTGTATAATGTTATTATTATTAGCAGTATTATTTATTATATGCATATTTATATTTGTTTTATTAAAAAAAAGCTTAGATTTGCCCACCTGCAGGTTTTAGACTATATGGGGCACAGCATGTGTTTTAGGATATAACTCAGGTTTTTGAGCACACTTCGTTATTATTGTTAATTTATTCGTTTACTGGAAATTATAACTGAATTTAGAAATAGTTTTAAAACAAATATTTGTGCTTAATAAACGAAATTAATTATTTATAGGCTAATTGATCTCTGTGTAAAGGTTTCCCTATCCAAGAGCGAAAGTGAAAGTAGATCATTTATCTCTCATCCTCGGTAGATGGTCTGCTTAACTGTTTTCTGTTAAAAAATACTGTTAACTGTTAATTGCTTGTGAAATGCTGTTTTTCCACTTACACTAACTTTAAGTCATTTAAATTGCATCTGCGCTTATGGCGCGACTCAAGGCTCTTAAAGGTAATGGGAGATGAGACTCTGATTGGTTTATTCTCAAAACACACCTAAAACTCATTAAGAAAATAAACTCAACCCTTTTAGACCATGCGCCACGGTGCAAAGCAGATTTTCCCATCCTTAAATGAGCAAAAATGCGTTCTGACACATCCTCAAAGCGTTTGCGCCCTGCGCTTTGCGCATGGACCGTCAAAATAGAGCCCTATGTGTTAACAATATCAGCGATTTAGCAGTTACAGAACACTAACTGACTACAAAGCTCCGGTCATGCACCACACACACACTCACAACCAGCTCCTGATCATGACTGATTGCTTGCACACAGCCGGAGTATCGTTACGAACTAGTTACATGGACTCTAAATACAGCGCACACACACACCTTATGGCTGAGTTTTGTAAATGCATTTTCCCTTGCCTTGTTCTGCCATGTTTTAGTCCCTCGCCTTGTTTTGTTTGTTTCCTGTTATGATTATCAGCTGTTATGATTATCAGCGATCAAGCAGTTGCAGATCGCTTACCGAGTAAAATCCGCCATTATGGACAACAAAGTCAGTCATGATCAGTAACTGGTTGTGAGTGTGTGTGGTGCATGACTGGATCTTGTAGTCCATTATTGATCTGCAACCGCTAGATTGCCTTTAATCATAACACTATAGTTAATAAAGGGGTATTTATATTTGCACCACGCTTTATGTATAAATATCAGTTTTGCATTGGTTTTTGAATACAGCATATCAGTATAGATGTGTAGTAAATTAGAAGTAATCTCTTAGACATAATAAACTCAGACAAGTTCTGAAACTGTCATTAAAGTATCTGTAATTGTGAACAAGAAAAAGAATAAACGGTCAAATTAAATTGTTACATTTAAAACAAAGAAGAAGCAGATCGGTCTGACTTTGGTACGCAGAAGGTTAATCTGCTTTCAGGCTGCAGGTGAGAGAGACTCCTGTACGAGGACTGAGCCGCCTGTGTATGCTCTGAGGCGGGCCAAAGGCTTCACCCGCAGCTCTTTGAAAAGTGTAGGCATGGTACAGTATGGACAAATGAGTCTATAAAAATCTCCAGTAACACCAAAAAAGTCGCTAGATTTGTCACTAGTCAATTAAGAAAAAATCTCGCTAAGGGGGTCTGAAAAGCTGCTAAATATAGTGACAAAGTCGCTAAATTGGCAACAATGTGTTTAGGAAATAATATATAGAGAAATAAGTCTGTAAAATAATAAAAACATGTACTGGCAATTTCTTACAAGTATTTTTTACCCTAAAATCCAGCACCAACCCAGACAATATATCAATTAAAACTTTTAAAATGTTAATAAAAGTCCCTTTTTCTAACTTTTCATTGTGAAAGGTTTATAGAAAAAGATCAAGCTCACATAATGCAATTCAAAAGCATAAATAAACCTTAATAAAAAAATCTAAACTTTAATCACACAATGCGATAAACTGCTAATTTATGGATATTTTTTTACAGTGTTGAGTTATATTTTGATAAATCAACACAATCAGAGTTAGAATTTGATTTGATCAGTGTAAAATTAAGGAGTTACAGGTAACCAACACTTTGCGGTGTCATTTTCAACATCATGCAGCTCCAGTGACTGAAGTATTTTCTAGACACTATTTTTCTAACGGAGTTTCAGAATGCCAACTGGTGAATCAAAAACCTCAGCGTTAGCATTTTACTGTCTTTCTCTACAAAAACACAGTTACAAATGTATTATTAGATTAATTACATAAGATTGATATATTGATTGAAAAGAGGGGCAGTATAGTGTTGCTCATAGGCCTACACAGAATCTGCACATGCAGAAAACTGCAGATTTTTAGCCCATGATTGAGTATATTTATTTAGTTGTGTGAAATGTGTGTGAATTTATAATAATTCAGTTTTTAAAATATCTTCAGTAATATTACAGACTAATATGAAAATGTTTATATGATTTACTTACAATACAGATTTTTTGTAGATATGTGGTAGATATATGAGGGACTTGCTTTGTTTACCAAATAAGTGGATCTAATTGGATTTACATTGTTCTATTAAATAAAAGTTAAAAATGTTTTTATTCCATTTAACATATTAAGTTTGTAGTTAAGATACACCCAAAATCATTCCGCATAAATCAGCAGATTTTTCATGATATTCTGCGCAGAAATAGCAAAAAATGTCCGCAGATTCTGTCTGGCCCTACTCATGGCTTGTAGCTGTTGTGTTTGTCCTGAACCCAGTCCTAATGATTCCTTCAACTTTCAAATCCAGCCTTCAGTACGCTGCATAATTAAGACTAAAAGCCAATATTGAATTCACTTTGACTTCGAGGATGAGGTGAAGTGGTGTTACATGAGGTGAAGTGTCATTAATAGTGCTGTAGATGGGGACGCTCGGGCAGACGAGTAGAGATGAGAGACACTCATAAACGACTCTGACACTTACCAACACAGCTAGCAGAATGGGAGAGCGGATGATCCACCAGTACTCCATGTGATTATTCTGCTCCCAGCATCTGATCAACAGCAAAAAAAGCAAATATGTCACTGTAGATGAACACATGCGCCATGTCGCAATAAACTCAAATCTTACTAAAGCAATATTTCAGCTACTGTAAACATATATTGAAGTAAAGCAAATTAAACTTACTTGATTACCCATAAATCATGCTTAAACTTGAGAGGCATGTATAATAAATCATTTTGTTTCTTTATTGTCTTGCTATTTACCAGAGTGACATAAAATAAAAAGCTTTGTGAATAAATTAGACATTTTCATTTTAATCCTATTAAAAAGTTTTGTTTAAACAACAATAATGTACTAAAACAATAACGTACTTATTGATAGTTTCAATGATCCCTATTTACAAAGATCAGAAAAAAAGATCTACTCAGAGGGCTGTTATGCCTGTCTGGCCAGTGAATGGCGATGCCAATTTGTAATATACATAATGTCACAGCCTTTACAGCGAAGGACTTAACAATAGTTGCTTTCAATTTCAATCATTCATTAATTTTCCTTCGGCTTGGTCCCTTATTTATCAGGAGTCACCACAGTGGAACTACTAACTATTCTGGCATATGTTTTATGGAGCAGATGCCCTTCTAGTCATAACCCAGTACTGGGAAACACCAATACACCCGTTTACACACTATGGCTAATTAAGTTAATCCAATTCACCAATAGCCCATGTCATTCGACTGTGGGGAAACCGTAGCACCCAGAGAAAACCCATTAGAACATGGGGAGAACATGCAAACTCCACACAGAAGTTCCAACTGACCTAGCTGGGACTTGAACCAGCAATCTTCTTGCTGTAAGGTGAAAGTTCAAACCACTAATTCACCGTGTTGCCATTTGTTTAATGTTAAGCATTAGGGCTGAATGATATTAAGATAATCTGACATTGTGATATTTTGTTTTGCGGAATGACTATTATAATTAACCATATTTGGTAGCCTATATGTTAGGTATCTGACACAATGACAATGACACATATCATAAAAAGCTCAAAACAAGATCTAAAATGGCAGGGATTAAGCCAAAGGACGTTTGTACAACTTTTATTTTTATCAATAATCTTTCTATAAATCTAAAACACGGAATACAGTAAAAGTGGCAGGGAATCGCTTTCTCGCGTTAACTACAGGAAAAGAGTTAATTTAAATAATTTAGCAATTCAACAAACATCATAATACCAGCCATACTTGTAAAGCACAAATGATGTGCTTTATTTAGTCAAGTACAGCAGATGTCATCTGTGAACCAATCTCTGTCTGTTTGTTCCACTGCTCAGTTTGTTAGATGTTTGCTCCAACGTTCTTTTCAAGTCTGAAGCACATCAAATGCACAAAATGCCCAATTTGTACCAAAGGATGTCTAATCCCATGTTTGCTATGACTTCACATGTAAATCACTCACGCTTCATACGTGTCTGCTTACTGCACAAGCTGAAAACTCCCCCCCACCCCTGCCCCTGATTGTGAGGTCACAGGTGAGACGTCATTTTTCGAGAGACACTCCAATACATCACGAGCACTGCATTTGCAACCTCTATAAGTCATGTAAAACAATTAACTGCAAACTGAAATAAATATTATTTGATTATATGGTTTAGAATTTGATGTTTTATGAGATTATTTACAAATTTTGTGTTAAATTTGGAATTTTGCAGGATCACAAAAATGTGCGACTTTTTGTTGATTTTGCGTTGGATTCAGCAATTGCGAAATCACTCAGATGTCACTCCCCAGAGTATCTGACATCACATATCTCACTCAAGACATATGTTATGATTTATGTTTTTTCTGTTTTTTCACCCTCCTCTCCGTTTGCTCAACCCTAGGTTTCTTATTGGTTTATTATTCTGTCCATCATCATTATGACGCTCTCTGGTTCCACCAATCCCAGGACGAGCCACAAGTATTTAAAGCCCTGTCAGTCCAGTGTGTGGTGTGCGCCCTGCCTCGGCGTACCCTTTGTGCTCCACGCAATTTGTTTGTGCAAATGCTTCGTCTATTTTGTGAATCGCTCAGTTACTGTGATAATTCGAGTTGCTTGTTGAACTTTGTTGGCTTTAAGTAACATATGATGATGGTTGTGTGATTCTAAACTAAGATTTAGCGGACTTATCCCTTTTGTTTTGTTTTAGTTTAGATTGATGTTTTGTTAGATTAGTTTGAGTGTTTTGCCACCCGTGTATTTTTGAGTTTTGTAGTTTGATTAGTTTAGTTCGGGTGTCGTACACACTGAAGATCTCGGTTTTTATTTGTGTTTCTTTTTGACGCCTAGTTTAGACATTAGATTTAAGGATTGTTTTGTTTTGTTAATTTCTTTGATTTGGCTTACACTCGTTTTTCTTGTTTAAAGATAATAATTATACATGTTTGTTTGTTTTTTTTCTCCCCCATTTATTATTGTTACATGTTTCAATTCAATTATAGAGTAAAAGCTTTAAATGAGAGTTACTGAATCTTGCCTCATTATTGATCTGTCGCACACATTACACCTGTCTCACTTAAATGTTACAGCATCCCACTTTAACATCATAAAACACGTAACATTTAATTGGTGGCAGCGGTGGGATTATATCTAAATTTATCTCTTTATGGGATGAGGTGAGACGATGTGTGTTTGACGGCGGATCAATTTTGAGTTTTGAGTGAACGAAGATTAGTGATTGCGTGGAGTTTTAGAGCATTATATCAGTATGGCTGAGTTTGATTTAAACAGTTTCGTTAGTGCACCATCTGTTGAACAATTGGATACCTTTCGAAAAGATGATTTATTAAAAATTGCTGAGCATTTCCAAATTAAAATTAGTAGACAACAGTTAAAGCGTGAAATAAAAGGAGTCATTGTCCGACATTTAAAGGAGCTGGGTTTATTGGTGCTGGCTGAAAGCTCACCTGGCGCTGACTATGTGTCTGCTGACTCTGCTCACATAGGTGCGGAGGAAGCGAGCGAAACAGCTGTTGCGGAGGGCTACGAAGCTAAAGCTGTTTTGCCGCCCTTCGAACCTTTTTCACCCTCAGAGGTTGAATCGGGAGGTGATGTGCGCCTCAAAACTCGCATTGCGAGACTCCAAAAAGAAGAGCGTGAGCGAGAGAGTCATGCTGAGAGAGAGCTGCGACTTGAGATCCGCAGGCTTGAAATAGAGGCGGAGACGCAAATCAAGTTGCGAGAGCTTGAACTGAATGCAGCCAGGCATGCACCTGTTTCTCCTGGCCAACTAGCGCAGAATGCGGCTCTTTCATCTGCCGTGACATCATCTGTCGGGACGTTTGATGTGAGTAAACATATTTCTCTTGTACCTCAATTTAGAGAGACTGAGGTTGACTCCTATTTTAATGTATTCGAACGAATTGCTTGCGCTTTGAAGTGGTCTAAGGAAGTTTGGCCTTTACTGTTGCAGTGCAGGTTAACAGGAAAAGCACAAGAGGTATGTTCTGCGTTGTCCTTAGAGGACAGCTTAAACTACGACGTTGTCAAAGCGGCAATTTTACGAGCGTATGAGCTCGTACCTGAGGCGTATAGACAGCGTTTTAGAATGCATAAGAAAAATTCTAATCAGACCTATGTTGAATTTGCGAGAGAAAAAGGTATATTGTTTGACAAGTGGTGCACAGCGAATAAAGTTTCCGATTTTCAAGCGTTACGTGAATTAATTCTCTTGGAGGAGTTCAAGAATTGTATTCCGGAGCGTGTTGTAATTTATCTTAATGAACAGAAGGTAACTTCTCTGGCTCAAGCCTCCGTTTCTGCTGACGAATTCGCATTAACCCACAAAAATGTTTTTCTGTCAGCTCGTACTGAGAAAAATTCTGTTCCATCTGTTGAAAAAGATCAGTCTCGTTTGAAAAATAAAAATGCACAAATTCGAGAGGTAAGGGAGTGTTTTTATTGCCACAAAAACGGGCACATTATTTCTGAATGTTTATTGTTGAAACGTAAGCAGCAAAACGCCGGCACTAAGAGTGTTGCGTTTGTAAAGCCGGTTAGTGTGGAAAGTCGCGAGACTTGTGATGTCGCTTATCAACCTTTCCTTTTAGAGGGATTGATATCTAATGATGACAAGCCTGAGAATCAAATAAGGTTAAAAATGCTTCGTGACACTGGAGCAGGTTATTCTTTTATTACGGCTGATGTGTTGTCATCTTTGGAAAACACTTTCTGTGGTAGTTATGTGCTAGTTCGAGGGATTGAAATGAGCACAATCAAAGTCCCTGTTCATCAGATTAATTTAAAATCTGATTTGTTTACTGGCTTGGTTAAAGTTGGGGTACGTGAAAATCTACCTGTGAGAGGGGTTGATTTTATTCTTGGGAATGACATAGCTGGTGGGAGAGTTATGCCATTGCTTGAGGTTTGTGATAAACCTGACTTTTCTGTGTCCACTGATGAGCTGTCAGAGTTATCTGACGTTTTTCCCGTTTGCGCCATTACGCGCGCGCAGACTCGCAAATTTGATGATGCAGATGATTTGATCTCGACATTTATGGCTCCTACTATGTTGAATGATGAGTTGATTGATCCTGGTAAATCCGACGAAAAATCTAAAACGCCAAATGTTGAGAAAATAAAATTGCACGTGACTCGAGACAATCTGATTGCTGCTCAGAAAGATGATTTCTCTCTGCATAAATATTTTTCTTCTGTTGTTCCAGCAGATGCGGCGCGTGAAAGAAAAATCGCTTTCTATTTAGAGAACGGAGTGCTGATGCGTAGATGGTGCCCTGATGCATCTGAAGCTGACTGGTATGGCGCAAGTCAAATTGTCGTTCTTACATGTTACCGGCAAACTGTTCTTTCTCTTGCTCATGACCATGATTTTTCCGGACACCTAGGTATTAAGAAAACTTATCACCGGATTTTAAAGCACTTTTTTTGGCCTCGACTTAAGACTGACGTGACAAAGCACTGTAAAACCTGTAAGGCGTGTCAATTTTCAGGCAAACCAAACCAGATTATTCCAAAAGCTCCATTGAGACCTATTCCGGCTTTAGGTGAGCCATT